CGAGACCCCCTCACCTGCTGGCAGCAGTACCCCCTCCGCTGTGTAGATGCGAGACCCCCTCACCTGCTGGCAGCGCTCGCAGCGGTACGGCTTCTCCCCACTGTGGACGCGCTTATGCCGCTCCAGGTGGTAGCGCTGGATGAAGCGCATGTCACAGACGTCACAGGGAAACGGCTTCTCCCCTGAAGAGAGACAAAGCGGCTAAGCTAAAGAAACGGCCCAGAGCACCACCCTCCATCAGAGCTGAGCGGGGGAGGGCACGGGGGGGGGGGGGGGGGGGGGGGGGTTGGGGGTTCACCTGTGTGGGTCAGGATGTGCCTCTTGAGGTGGTAGCTGCTCCTGAAGGCTCCATAACAGTGCTCGCAGATGAAGTTCTTCTGGACTTTAAGAGGACAGTCGCCGTTCTCGTCCACCACCACCACCTGAGGACATGACAGGTGGACATATCGCAAAACGGCTGGTGCGAGGCTCGGTAGGTTAGGCTTCTGTGCCCGTGATCCGTAGGTTGTCAGTTCAAATCCTGAGCTCAGTAAAATGCTCCAGGGCAACCGGGTGGATGGCTGATCCTGGGCTAAGTTCCCAAGTTTCTCTCTTACCCATGTTTGTGTGTGTCTTTAAAAAGTAGTGCATGATGGGATATGAGAATAGTCCGTATGTACCCGTAAAAATGGTGAATAAAACTTGATTTCACATCCTGCATTTGACTGGCACTCACCTCCCCTGCTTTGCTTCTCTCCCTCACTTTGCAGGGCGTCCCCGACTTCCTATTCTTCTTCTTCACTGAGCTGCTCTCTCTCATACCCTTTTCATCCAGAAGACGAGAGGAATGGAATTCCCCCTCCTTGCGTATGAGCTGTGGGTGAAGCAGAAGTAATTAAAATGTATAAAATTAACCGGCACGACTTCCTTATTGGGGAGATCTAGTGTCATCAATGAATAATGGATGGGACCAAGAGATAACCAAACAGATCACAGAAGAGGTGGGTCCAAGCAACTAGAGGAGGCAGGGCCTACCAATCCTCTCTATTCTGATTGGTTATCTCTCTGAACCAATGATTTTTGGCTTTCAAGCTTTGGCTTGAGTGCAAATACCTATGTGCTCCTCCCACTCACCAGCGGGGGGCAGCTCATTCCTGAGGGCAGGACCATGTGGTTATGCTGGCTGTGCTCGGGGCTCTCCCTCTGTCCCTGGCCCAGTGGGGTGGCCATCTTCTTCTGGCCGGCCATGGAGCCGGCTTGCATCAGGGCCATGCTTGATAGCACGGCCTCACAGCCCAGCAACCCTGCCTACAGACGTGAGGGGGAGTTTGATGTCGGCGTGGGAGGGGCAGAAGATCGAGTAGAGCCACAGAAACAAGCTAACCCACGTGATCATGCAAAAACCCAAAATGATTACCTAAACTATACGAGCAGCTTGTAGGGTAGTGGTTAAGCACATGGACTCATGAACAGAAGGCTGCCAGTTCAAGTCCCAGCAGGGCCCTGACGCAGTGCTGCCAAGCAACGTTCTTAACCTGAACTGCTCCCGAACACATATCCAGCTGTGTGAACGGGCAGAACTGTGAGTGGCTTTGCACATCAGCATCAGCTACGCAATTCACAGTTATGATCAGCAGGGCGGCGACGGCGCCACACTCACCCATTTCATGTGATCGCGGACAGAGCTGCTAGGCAGGTGGCTCATCTCCGGGACGGCTGGACTGTGTGACTGGGGTATCCCTCGCTCAGGACGGTCTATCTGGCAAATGACCGGAACTTCCCCAAGTCATCTGGCTCCGGCTCCTGGGGAAGATGGCAGACACAGATTCATTACTGATCCCAAAGGAAACTGCAAAGAGACACTGTCCAGGTTACAAGAGGAAACTGGGGGGGAAAAAATGGACAGCAGGTCTCACCTACCTTCTGCCACTTAATTATAAAAGCTGGTAATGGGATCGGCGTTTACTGGGTGCCAAAGCATGACAAACAGAACAATGACAGAGTCAAGTTAAAGGTATAACACCATCAAGCTAGGCAATCACAGGAGGAGGCCTTCCCAGTCAGGTTACTGGCTGGCACATGATGTTCCCTGAAACTCAGACCGCATGAGCCTGCAGTGACACCAGCTGTATTGAACTTTTACAGCAGGATTCCCCAGTTCTGGTCCTGGAGGGCCAGAATCCAGCACAGATCACCCTGTGCAAACACACCTACCATACCTGGCAATTAGCTGATTACAATGCATTGTTTAAGCAGGGTAATCTTTAAACTCAAGGACCGAAATTGGGGAACTCTGATCTACAGTTACCAGGAATGAATCAAATAGCTAAGTGAGCTTCAGTCAGTGTTTCTGATTGCCTGTTGGTTTGGGTTAAAACAGCATCTGCACAGATCTGTCCATACCACATAGGACTGGAATTTCACCTGCATTTCAACCAGAGAGCAAAAATCTTTTACTTTAATGCTATGTGGAACATAATTAGCTGAAATACGGCTTTTTTGCATTATTAAAACTAGTGGTCAATGATTGAAAACCATCATCAACTGCAGCTGAAAACATTCAATGGCTAGGGGAACCGTATTTACTGTAAATTAGCACAAGATGAGAGTTTTGCATCTGTCAGGAGGCTTAACTCGCTTTACTGATTGCACACAGTTGGGGTTCCCTGGTTAAGGCTAAACACCGACCGGGGCTTCACTACACCACAGCACTAAAGTGAGTCAAGTTTCTCATCCGTGCAATAAACGCAGAAAGAGCCCGAAGCGGAGCCGCTCTGGCGGCGAATGGGAGGTCCCGGAGGTCCAGATCGGCGGCGCAAACCCCTATTCCCCCGCCAGCACCACACCAGGGCGGGTGGCTTTACTAGGGAGACCCACCGAGAGCCCTCGGCTTTACGCCCGAGCCCACCGGCATCCGGAGACCCGCGGCCGACGGTAACTAGCAACTAAATGCGCCGATTTACCTTTACGACTTCGCCTATTTCGCCGCCTGTAAGTTTCCCGATCGAGTTCCAGTTTTTCTTCAGTTTACAAACACAGGAAACGGTACCGGAAGTACTCCCCGGGGAGGCCCCCTGACACGTGACCATGGCAGTTTACAAACACAGGAAGCTTCGCCAGAAATTCTTGCCCACGTGACAAGAAAATACATGTCGATACCTCTAAACGCGGAAGTGTAACCGGAAGTGGTCCGACAAAGACTTGCTCCATGTGATCAGAAGGCTAGAAGCGCGGGCAATTTGGCGGCCATGTTGGAGAATGTTAAGTTATTGGACCCGACGAGTAGATTACTGCAGAAATTTAAAAGGACTGTATGGCACATGGTCTGGCAAAGCACACACACACTGAAAAGTTGGAACACGTATTAATGTGTCAACCTAGGCATCTCCCTTTACAATGGGAAGTGTGCTATTTGGCTTCTTCAGTTATTGCAAGATAACAGTTTTACTTAATGTAATTTTGTTTCTAGCCAAACCCCATATCATTAAGTGCAAAACTTCTAATAAGAAACATGACTTTGTGGCACTCATAGATGAAATGACTGATCTCCCCCACTGTACTAGACACTTCTGCAGTGTCTAGTCCACTCCTGCAATCTTTAACTTGCATTTCAGTACAGATAAAAAGACAATTTATTTATCATTACATGCTGCTAAAAAGTTGTTTCATGCTGCTACTCTCTCCAAGTGCACTATGCATCACTATGGGAATAGGTTGTATGTGTATTGTGTATGTTATTTTTTAATGCTCCGTTAGTTTTAATTTGTCTATTTACGCTGTTGGCCTAGGAGGAATAGCATTTCATTCTTGACTGTATGAAAGTGCATGATAAAATGACCATAAAGGAAATCTTACATTTTAAACAGTACATCATTACGCTTCTAACATTGCAGTGGAGAAGTAAGGGATGGGCTTCCATTGTGGGAGATGTTTCCCTGAAATGTTCATGCTTCTGAGATGGTTGCAGTAAAGCTTAAATGAAATAATGAAACAGTTAGTAAAACATTTCTGTATGTTGAAAATGTATAGAGAATAATGGAATAAAATAATTTTGCTGTGGGAACATATAGCAGATTAGACGTATCATGGTTGGAGCAGAAAGAAGGTCAGTAAAGTTAGTGTGGCCTCTGCCAAGGAGAGATTGGAAAACCAGCAGGAACATCTCTGTGGTACCATTCTTGTTTGATGGGAAGCCAGTGCAGCGGAGCTAAAACTGCAGACAACTTCCTCTCTTAAGAACCCTGGAAGCACCGTTCTGGAGCAGCTGGGATTTTCTAGGGGCTCATGAAAGGAGGCCACAGTGAAGTGCATTATCACAGTTACTACATGATAAATTAATCTACGTCCCAAGCAGGAAATGCTGGGATTACAGCAGCACATGGAACAGTGCAGGAGTGCAAAGAAAATTTAGACTTGTGCAATAAAAGCACGTTATGCGTACAGCTCATTCAGCTGAGGATCCCTCCGGAGAAGCTGCCTCAAGTCTCAGTGGCCCTGGAGTCATCAGGTTTAGGGTTAATGTCCCACTGTGTGCTTCCTGCATAGCTTTGAACAGCAGCAGCCCAAAGCCGGACTGTGTGGCCCACATTGGTTTTGAAATACACTCACTGAGAGCTGCTGCTGTAGAGTGAACCTGGAGGCCTTTGAGAGCCACCTGTAAGACCTGGCTTCCTCCCCTGGCTCTGCAGCCTCTGTTCCTGAGTCTGCATGAAGTGAAGCTCTCCCATTAGCCGTGGTGAGGATGCTAATGTGCCTAAAGCAGTTTTCTCAGGTACAGAATAAGATGGATGCTTGACTGAAATAGAGGCTTCTGTATTGTCAGAGGTACCAATCAGTATCTTTTGAGGGTACAATCACTTGTCACTGGGGCTGTAGCCTCAAGGCTCTGCCTCACAGGAGGTCCTGGAGCCGATCTCAGGCAGCACTAGGCTGGGGCACATCCTGGACAAGATGTCCGTCACAGGACACACACAGACAATGATACACAGAGGGCAATTTAAAATGAACAATTAGCCTAAATGCCTGTCTTAGATATGGGGAGAACTACAAGCATGGAGGTGGGACTCCAAACCCCAGCTAGCTGAGCACTGCTTGGTAGATCAGCAATGGGAAAAAAAGATTAAATTAAATTAATTATATTAAAAGCTGAGGCATGTGCCTGAACTTTAAGGTCTGGGTTAGGGTTATATTATTCAAGAAGATATATTTCAAAATCAAACCTAAATTTCTTCAGTATTTCTTTGGACAATCTATTGCTTAAGATTATTATCTGATTATTCACTAGGTGGCGCTGTTAAGAAGCTAGTACTTTTTGGATGTTTTTTTTTTTGATCGTTTCCCTTTGGCCAGCGAGCTTGTTTTTAAAAATGGATTTAGAGTTGGCAAGTAAAACAACATTTATTAAAGAATACCTGCACCATATGTCTGAATAGAATCCGAAAACCTTGTATTGTTTGGTTATTTAAATGCACTTCAGTAACAATGCGGTTACCACAGCAAAATGGCGAAAAATAACAGTTCCATGACATTTTTTTTTTTACAATTTCAATTAACCTGAATAAGGTCACTCCAGAAAGTTATCATTAATGTAACCAGTCACAGTTTAGGACACATGAGTGCAAAAGTCATGAACTGTGAATTCAACACAATTAAAACCTTAAGGACACTTCTTCTGGTACGTAAATGTGTTCCCAAAACATAATTAAAAAAATCCTACAAAAGTTTAGTCCTTATGTGATTATGTTTATGAGAGGGAGACGCTAGAGAGAATCGGACTGATTAAAATGTGCTGCTGTGACCTTTAACGAATGCGGAAAAGACTGAAATGGACGGGATGCACAAAGTTCTACTGTGCGACCTTTGCTATGCTTCCATTAATTAATGTGAATTTTTTTTCCTAATAAGACTGACCTATTAAAGAACTAAATGGGAACAGTGAGGAACAGGAAATCAGGCATCTACTGAGAATGAGAGTACTGCGTGCTGACTACGGGGTGAAGTCAAAGATCGTTCCCTAGCCTCTCAATCTCGTCCAGGAAAAAGTCCAGGTCCTTCCGGGTGATCTGAGGGGAGATGATCACCATCCGGAAGAAGTTGACTCTTCCCTTCTGTGGCTGGTAGCCCACCATCATGCAGCCTTTGCGCACCATTCGCTCCTTTATGATTGGTGCCACCTAGTGGGGAAAAACTGTTATTGTTACCACCGCACAAATTTTAACCAGGGAAAGGACAGTCTGACTGCGCCAGGAAAAAAAATAATAACAGCTAAATTCAACTGGAATGCCCACTAGTGTTATAAAACAGATATAGTCTAATTATACTGATTATATGAACATGACCTTACAAATAACCAAGCAAGGTTCTTTGAATGCTGGCATCTTGATGGACTCCGGTTTCACTTACACACCTTGGACAGCTTTTCTTGGAATCCTTCGGTGCCTTCGCTGCCCCTCAGGCTGGGGGGGATGAACCAGAAGCAGACGTTCACAAACTGCGGCTGTTTTGGGGGCAGAAAACACAGACGGCCGGTTTCAGCTCTTAATGTGCAGGGTTAAGCGCCAAGGACCCCTTTACATCGCATCACGCCTGCTGCAGATATCGGTGTCGGAGAGCGCCCGAGCATCGACCGTTACCTCATTAACCAGCTGGAAGCCCTCCCTTGTCTTCATCTTCCCCACGAGGTACCTGGAGCATCAGGAGCAAGTGAGAGACACTGTTTACCCTGGTTACCCTTCACCTTACTATCTCAAACAGCTCCATCATCAGTGAGCTTCCATCCAAGATGGTCAAAGATGGATGAGTGTCCCGTGCAGCTGTAACTCCCGCTTTCGATTTTCGATAAGGGTTAGGTTTAGGGTTAGGGTTAGGTAACAGTGGCACTGGCTTAGGAATTGCTTGATGTTTCACCACGGTTTGATGACACCTTTATCCGAGCTCGTCCTGCACCTCCCCCTGCGTACCTGGTGTTCTCGAAGGCCTTGTCCACCCGCTGGCCCAGCCCCCGGCTGCCCACCGCCTTCCACATCAGCCACAGCTTCAAGCAGTCCACCTTGCGCCCACACTGGATGGATTTGTCCCCAGTGTCCAGGCTGACGTCGTAGAACTTGTCTTGCTGGAACAGGTAGGTGGCGTTGGCGCAGTGGCAGCGCTTCAGGAGGTCCTGGAGATGGCAGAGGGTTTAGAAGAGGACGCGGGGCTTGGACCAGGACCCAGGGCCGCTCAAGCAAATACCCCCCCAAGCAGGAAGTCAATGGACTCTTTGATCTGCTGGCTCTGGTTCTTGGATGTAGAACCTTAAGGAATGCTGAGCCCAGACCGGCCCATACCGTGGTGTCCTTCATGAGGAACACAGAGCACTGCAGTCCTGCCATCAGCATCTTGTGGGGGTTCCAGGCCACCGAATCTGCCCTAGGGCCACACAGAGGGCAGGGACTCCGTCACTGAGCCATGGACATTTTCATCAATCCATTACATCCAGTAGTGTGGCAGAATGCTTCAGCAGGTCAGAGCGTACCTCTCGATGCCTTTCAGCAGGTGTTTGTGGGTGCTGGAGAACAGCACACTGCCCCCCCAGGCAGCCTGCAGGACACGGGGAGAAGCTGTGGCACCTGTCCACATTTCTGCAGACATGCCCCCCCCCCCTCACCCCCACCGGCTCAGAAACTCACATCGACATGCAGCCACAGACTATTCCTGGCGCAGATGTCAGCAATGCGGTCCAGTGGGTCAAAGGCTCCCTGTATGGTGGTTCCTGAGGTGGCACTGACCAGTAGGGGCACTGAGCCCTGCAGGGAGACATGGATTAGGGGAGGGGGGGGTGTGGCGTACTGGCAAAAGCTGACCAAAAGGGGGCGCTCACAGAAGCCGCTCAGTGTACTGATGACTGTCAGGAAAATTGATTCAGACAGATTGCATGCTTTTATGAAATATACTAAATAAACGAATGAAAAATTAATCTCAGTCATTGTATATAAACTAAACGGTCACTCTACTCATACAGATCTGTTTGACAGCTGTAACCAATGAGGATTCAGTGTCATTAGGAGACGTCCATCTATATAATATCTTACAAGCTCAAATCACACTCTTTCTGAACCGTAGTACATTAATAACTGTGTTTTCAATGCCAAACGGCCAGTGTCACCTGAGAGAAGGTAAAGCCAAATACAAACATTCACTGATGAAGACATGAAAGAAGCGGCAGGCCTGAGCAGGGCCCATGTTCTCCAGAAGCTTCTAGATAGGATGCTGTTTAGCAACGTGCCTGAGATCTAGCAAGTTCAATTTTGTCTTCTAGGTCTTCTGGTATCATGCAGCCCCTGTGGACAGTAAAAGGGGTAGAGAGAGACAGAGCAAGAGGTTATCCAGGATCAGATATCTGGGGCTTCAGTACAGGATGATAGGGGATGAGGGACCGTACCGTTCATCCACCTTCACAGTGAAGATGTTCTCCAGGCCAATTCCTTGGAAGGAGGCCGCTTTGCACACAGAATAGTGGCTCTGAAGGGAACAGGACAGCAGGCTGATGTCATGTGGAGACATCTTTCTCAGGTGAGATACTGACACGTTCAGGTGCACAGCATCAGTCAGAAGAGTCAGAACATCTCGGCATGGACCTTATCATCTAAAGGCTGACCTCATGGCGCCGTGTTTCACGGTTTCTGCATGTTTATAGTCAGACTGATGTCAGACGGGCTTTCGCTTAGGATTCACCTCCTGCGACGTGAAGATGGCCAGGCGTGGCAAGGCCCACATGCCCTGCACCTTGACCTGCGGGAACGCCCGGTACCGCGCCACATTCATGGCGTACATGTTGGACATGGAGCCGCCGGGGCAGAAGATGCCGTCACCGTCCGGCCAGCCCACCATGTGGCGCAGCTTGGACAGGACCTCATTCTCCATGAGCACGAAGACGGGGGCTACCTCGTAGGTGTACCTGACGGAAGGCCGGGAGAGGAGCTAAGGTCACCATGTTGCATGGGTGATACGTTAATCACGACCCATGAATGAGTAACAGAAATTACAGCCCTGCTATACTAACCCTTGTTTTGACACTTTATTGGTCTCCATGGCTAAATTCTCTTTTCACCTACTCCATCTTTCTCTCCATGAAACAGACACATATCTAGGTGAGAATCAGCTTGGCAGCGAAGGGCAGCCACCTGCAGTTGAGCTGGGAGTTAAGGGCCTTGCCCAAGGGCCTACAGACATGTGGCTTTTCTGCCGAAGCGAGATACAAGCCGGTGACCATCCAGTTACATACACAGAGCCTCAGCCTGCTTTGCCACATGCTGCCCCCAAAACTCCATCATTAACCTTGGAGGGGAGACAGTTAAGCTTTTTGGTCACGTGGAGAGGGTCTTGTTTTATGCTTTATCCGTTTCCACGTCAAGGCAAAGCTCAGGCTGGCAGACACTTCAGCCACAGCGCCACCCGGTGACACTTACTGGCTGGTGTTGAGGGACTCTGTGAGGAAGCGTCCGGCCAGCGAGTGGTAGTCCGTGCCTGAAAACAGCTGGTTGAAGAAGTACGGGTGACCTAGGAATCAGATGGCATACTCACACTTGGCCCAGCTGCCTCAGGCACGATTGTCCTCCCTCCCATCCCATCCCATCGCACTTAACATTCCAGGCTCGAGCGTGCGTTCAGCATCACTGTGCGATTTTGTGTGATGAAGGAAACGTAGGAAGAAAAGTGCTATCGCAGGACAGAATGGAGTTCATGATTAACGTCCTCTTTTGTGGTTTATTTTGAGTTGTTTTTGGGTGCCATGACACATGACCGTGTACTAGATAAACCGTGTTGCACGTATAAGACAATAGTCCCATTTTTTTTCTCTGTTGCACCCAGCTGTTCCAATTATTTCCAGCAAATATTGCACCCCTGCCATAGACCAAAGTGATCCCTTTCTTGCAATGTTTGTAAAATATTTGTCCCTACCTGATCCGTTCCTTCCAGGTCCCGTCCCCGTATACTGTACATGTGCGCATGTGTGTCACAGTTGCGTCATTGACCTCCTGCCAGTCTTCTGTTCTCTGGCAGTTAGCGGTCACACAAGATGTATACCCGAGTCCAGCTGAACTATGCCCAGGCCTACCTCTTAAAGTGGGCCAGGCACAGTATGCAGCGATCGAACTAGTCAAATTAACTGGAATTCAGGGGTCAAACCTGCTCAGGCAGAACGTGAGTTGCCTAATATGAGTACACCCAGAGTATCGCCATGAACGTCGCGAGCAGTCCACATCCCGCGAGCGTCACACACGAGCAACCACCGTCTGGTGGAACCTTACAGGTCTTGACGCTGTATCTGGCCACGTCTTGGACGCGCTTTAGCAGCTGCTGCTGGTTCTCCCCCCCCTCCCGCAGCTCCAGGTCCAGCAGAGCCGACAGCTCCGCAGGGTCCTGCCACTCGCAGACCTGCAGGGACCGCCGGAAACGGGGCTCAGAGATGCCTCCGGAAACACAAACAGTGCACCGAGCACCAACACGACGGAACCAGTGAGAAAAGTCAAGCGAACAGACGGCCAAGGGAGGGAGTCCAATACCTTCTCCTGCACATTGGTCCCTTTGCGCAGAACCTCCTCCAGGATCACGTTGAAGGCCTCCTTCAGGAAACTCTGGCCGTCGCCCTGCTCCTCCAGACTTGTAGTCAGGGGGTGCCCGTTCTGGAGACCCATCGCCCTCTTCAGGGTCTCCACTGTGGAGACAGACACAGCTTTTGGGATGGCTCACACCATCTGAATGAACACAGAGCTCCATGAGACAATGGAATATGATCATGTTTACTCTGGTTATTGATTCCCAGTTAGAGGAAATCGCGTGAGTCTCATATTGTTATAAAACGACTGTCATCACTTTCAACATGAATTTACTGCGTGATGCTACCAGCCTGGCCTCCTTCTTTATTTTGGACTGATGCTGCTGAACCATATCCAGCAGGCCACCACATCAGTGCCTCCTACTGGTCTGACTGGTCTGCAGGCTGAGGCACATCCTGCACCTTGACCTGAGCTGTCCATTTCAGCTCTGCAGCCGCTCTGATCCGAATCAGTGCCTGTCATTTGCCGATAGTGTGTGTGTGACTGCCATGCAGTGGACTGGCATCCCATCCAGGGTGTCCCCCTGTCTCGTGCCCTGTGATGGACTGGCATCCCATACAGGGTGTCCCCCTGCCCGGTACCGCGTTCTCACCGGGAATGGTGCAGGCTCACTGGTTAAGTGGTTATGGAAGATGGACAGATGGATAACTATTAATAACTAGTGACAATTCCTTAGATTACAAAAACAGTATTTGTCCCATATTTAATCATGGCTTGGGGTAAATTGTAAATTCTTCTGACCAGGGGTTCCCTTGGGCAAAAAGGCAGGTTTAGTCCTCTGTGTGTGCCTGGCACAGCCTGCTTCCTGCCATATTTCAGCCAATTAGAGGAAATATCCAAATTATTATATTATGATCTATTGCATATGAGATGGGGAACTAACTAATTTATGGGATAATTTTCTCATTTGATTTATATCACAAGTACTATAAGGCAAAATAAATGTATCCAGTTCTTGGTCAAAGATAATGATGATAATAACAATAATAATATTTATTAATTATTATTAATAAGAATAATTATTATTAATAATAAGAATAATTATTATTATTTCAATAGACCTACTATACAGAAAGTCAATCGAATGCATGATACATAGTGTTATTTCACGCTTACATAGACCGCGTACATAGAAACGCAAACATAATTAGTGATGGCCTGTAATTGCCATGTGCTTTGCCTGCGGTCGTGGAAACGGCTGGTATATTTCCATTAGGCTCCCTTTGCCAGCTCTACAGATAAGGAAAGTTCGCTTGGTTCAAGTAAAAATGTCGCGTTAATGCTGTCGCTCTTGACCTTTGCATCTATCCATGTTCGATCTATAATCATCCTTTTTTAGCAGTGTCCTCAAGAGGCTGCCGTTCTTTCCCAAGAAGTACAGAGAAATATTTAGAAGCTTGTGTGACAGAAAATACATGTTTCAAAATGTGGGTGTATCATGTTAAATGACAAGCTAATGTGCATACGAGCATAGGAGTAAAGTTGACATTCTTTCAAGTTTTCATTCATATAAACATTTATAATTATCATATCAGTTTCTACTGCAGATAAACACAGATGCCTGACAGTAAGTGTGGCCACACGGGTATGTACTTTACCTTCACATTCCCCGTTCTGGGGGCTGCAGACCGGTCCGTTCATGCTGAGATACAGACAGAGGCTCAGATTCAGCTCAGGGGACTGACCAGATGCGACACGATCCCTGTATTAAGAAAACTGCAAACCAATAAACGAGCGGAGCGGAGCGTGTCCATGCATGCACCTCCTCAGTTGGACCCGGTCCACACGTTTCGATAAGGGAATAAGGCACGAGACTGTAGGATATGTTGCGCTCCCCCCCAAAAAAGAAAAAACTTCAGTCCACGTGATAAATGTTTGCTCTCTGCGTTATTCTATCTCTTTATGCAAGCGGATCAGTTTGCATCTTCAATTTTGCATATCCGACATCACCATATCACCACAGCCAGCTGATACGTTTTAGATGATGAAGGGCGAAACAATGGTCAGTACTTGGTGTGATGCTATTTTGGAGATAATGCAAGAGTGTTGGTGGTCCTACATGGGCCGGTCAGCTCCGACATTACCCGGGTTACACTATCCGAGACGGGCGGTCCAGTTTCATTTACAGTCCAAAATCATTTATAGTCCGCTTCTGCCCCGAGTGTTCGGTTATTTTTATCGCACCCCACCGCCATCGTGTACATTACACAGTGTATTTCTGGTTGGAAAGCCAAAGGCAATTTGTTCCTTAAACATTAATTCAATGGGTTATTAAACGTATGCAGATAACGAACAAAATCACTCGACCAGAGGCGGCGTTCAGATTTTATCACAGTGTATCAAAAAAATCTAACAAATAAATGCATTTTTGAACATTATCATTATTATAACGCATGGAATGTGAACGGAAAGTATTGCTGCCTTACTGAAGTACGGTGACTCGGGGTTTATTTTGTGCATGTTCCCTTTATGTGTAAAGCAACGTATAGCGCGCCTTTTTCAGGGGCGGATCTAAGTATATACGTAGTAAATACGTAAGCGACCCCCCACATCAAAATAATAACATCGAAATATGGATTATTTTCTTTTTTAAGCGGAACCACAGGAGAGCCATGGTGCGGCGCGGCCACCAACATAAACAGCCTAGAAGGAGCCCCCACGTACACTACAGTTAAAAATGTATGCAGGCGCCCTTTGGCATCAGTAAAGTCCATCATAATCTTAAGCATGATTTTTTTTTGTTAAATTATTCAATGGAGCATTTCTCACGAATACGCGTTTCGTTTTTTTAAATGCAAAAAATCTGTCGACTGATTCAAATAACGGGCGTTATTTCAACGTGAATTTCAATACGCAAAATATCCTAGTGATGGCAGGTAAGGAGCTGCTTTAATATATGTTAAGCTTCAGAAATAAGTTGAGTTTATCACCTCCGGCCATCTCAAACTTGATATGCGGCTGGAGAAGATAACAGATTTTTTTATTATTATTAATTGAGCAAAAACTAATCACTGGAAGTAAGTAGCTTTAATGTCTTCTGCATCTTGGCTGCAAAACTGCCTTTTTATGAATTATTGATTGGCTGGGGAGATGTCCAACATTACGTTGTGTTGAGTTATTGAGAAACGCATTATTTCTGTTTCATAATACTGCAGACAAGCACATTAATGCAGCACTGGACTGTTACCAGCAATGTGGGGGTGGGGGGGCTTTATATGTTTTGGTGAACAGACACATGAAACTGAACAGCCCAGCCAGGCAGGGGGCCTTTCCCAGCCGAACACCTTCAACGTGGAAGAACTATACATTCCTGCTGATAAAACATCTATTTAAAGGAGTCGGCAGACAAGCAAATATCTAAATGTTACCATAAAGCAGGATAAGACTGTCACTGGTTAACTTAGAGCCTTATCAATTACTGTATGTACAAAATGGGCTTCATGGCTTAGGTCCATTGCTGGTTATAGGGGCAGGTAACCTTCCCAATGTGATGGGGACGGGACCCCATCTTTCCTCCACAAACACCATGAGGCTGGAGGTTTTAAAACTCCGCGCAAAAACTGCAGATGACCAATCCCAGAGCAGAAGAGCAGACATCATCACAGTGAAGCTGCCGATCTCTGTTCATTGCCGTCAGAGTGGACAATGAAGGAGTGTCACTTATGTGGGACTCCTGGGCCATGCTCTCGCATGAAGGCAGACCTTCTGGTGTGGACAGGTGAGAAGAAACCTCAAGACATCAAAAACAAGGGATCTCATCTATGGCTCCCTGTCTCCTCAAAAGCATGAGGAGAGTATCTGGTCGTCTTTGTGACTCTGCTGAAGTGACTCTGTGCAGGGTGACTCTTTGCGGGGTGATCATCAGCTCTTAGGTCTACATGCATGCTGAACCCCTGCCGACTTTAGCCAGACATGGCCGGGGGGAGGGGGAGGAGAGATGCACGGCAGTTGTACAAAGCCCGCCCCCCTCAGAAACTGATGACTCAAAGGTACAAGGGTGAACAAGGGTGAACAAGGGTGAAAACACATCAGGGTGAAATAACGTGATACTTGCCGAGAGGAGAAAGGTTAGGCACAAACAGATAACAGCCCCCCAACCACCTCACACGTCACATTTTTTTCAAACATTTATTTTTTTTACAAGAATTTTTCTTAGGAAGAGTTTAAATATTAAGTATAAAATTAACTACACAGAAAAAAGACGGGAATGCATATTCACATAACGCAATACACTTTTTGCCCCCCCCCCCAAACCTGAGACACATTATTTGATTTTTTTTGTACAAAATACACCAGCACTGTTTGAGTTACAACAGCACTTTATGTAATAACCACAAGTTAACTTGCCCCTTGACACTGTACTTTTCCACAACCTATAACTTCAGAATACAGCCATTCACTTGTGTGGAAAAAAACCAGAAAGTCTGCAATAATGGAATGTTCTAGAAAAGGGGAGTCTCTGTGTAAAGTGCCGACTTTCGGAGGCTGCACCTCACCGCCTGATGCGATCCCTCGACCGCCCTGCGGCCACTGAGGATGAGGCCATGGCTTCCTGCCTTCAAAGAAACATATCCAGTAAACCTGGCAACAAACTAAACAACAATGATGGACTGGAGTTCTCATTATTACCATACTATCATATAGATTATCATGTTTTTATGGCAGGTAATCACAAGCCTTGTGTCAACAGATGCTACAAAGTAATAAAAACATTTCTGTTTCACTTTCAGGAAGCCAAGTGGCTTTGCTCTTCCTTCAGTCTCTCCCAGTTGGCTCTTTTTACTGATTTTAATGATTTGGACTTCATTACCTAAACGAACACTGGCCACATTTTTTTTTACGTATGGATTTTCTGAAAATGGTGTATAGTGTGTGTGTGTGTGTTTAGGGGGGGGGGGTTCATGGATCACATCTGGGGACCAAAATGTCCCCAAAATGTGGTAAAACCTGAAACTTCCTTACTTTTGGGGACATTTTCCAGGTCGCCGTTTGGATAACATCAATTTTATAAAAATCTGTAAGTGCAATCAAAAAAGTAAAAATGCCAAAAGTCTTGTATTTTGTTTGGTTAAACTTAGAGCTGGGCAAGGGTTAAGGTTGTCCTGACTGGGATTAGGGTTTTCCCCATAGAAATGAATAGAAGGTCCCCATTTAGATAAATACATGTATGTATTGGGGCAGCATGTGGCTCAGTGGGCTAAGCCTGTGTAATCACAAGGTTGCTAGTTCAAACCCAGCCTCAGCAGGTTTGCAGGTCTTTGAGCAAACAATGGTGAACTGGAGTTCAAACCCAGCCTCAGCAAGCCCCTTAACCCCTGGGTGCCGCTACAGGTGGCTGCCCTTTTTGGACAAGTTGAGGGAGGTGTAAAGACAATTTCATATCAATCAATAAAGTATCAATTATTATATATGTGTAAGAGGAAGATGTAGAGGACAGGAAGAAATGGAAACATGATCCACTGTGGTGTAACAGGAACAGCCAAATTAAAAAGTTTTTCTGAAAATGATTCATAAAGAAAATTAAAAATTATCTTAATTTCCTTGACAAATCATATGATTATTGACCTTTACATTATGAAAAGCATGCAACTTCTCTGGCCGGGACACCTTGAGCTGTAACATTCCACGGGGACCATAGTCATGCGGAGCGCTTGCACAGATTTATGGATCTTTCTGGAAATTTGGAAAATAAAAGTGCCCATAAACCATATCGTCCTTGTCATCCAATGATACCGATTGCAAAAACGTGTAGTAATGCTGACAGAATATTTTGTTTTGTATAAAAGGAATGTAAACAAAACAGTATTGCTAATTGCCCATTTAACAGGCTCGCTACATCAATCAAAGATGCACGTGTAGTTTCAACATATTTATCCGGGCTACGAGAGGACATCCAGGCTCTCGGGCGGCAGGCTGATGTTACTCTGCGACAGCACGCGGTGCAGGTGTGCAGCCGTCGCCTGTCGGCCTTCTCGCATGCGCCAGATGCACAGCATGGCGAACACGCGGTCCACATGGCAGCGCTTGTCCTCTTCCACCTGGTCCAGCTGCACGTTGGATAGGCCAAGAGCCAGGATGCCCAGCTGCTTCCAGGAGTGGCCCACATACTGCGCCAGGAGCATCAGCTGTCTCTCTGTCACCAGCTCCTCCCCTACACAGCCAAAACGACCAATCACACGTCAGCTCGCTATCGCCTTCCGTAATGCATAACTCCTCTAGGTTACCATAACATTTGTAGTAAAATGCGTTATTGCAAATTTGATCTGGTTTATCTAGCACGTTAATACAAAGTTCACACATATCAGAGGAGCGTGTTAAGGCTTATTAATATTTCCACATAGAATCTACACCATCGGCAGATGCATATCACATATCACATAGCTTATGCTGTAGCCTGATGCGCACCTCCCCGGAAACGTAACTACAGGCGTTCCACGTTAGGGAAATATTAAATTATAGACATAACTTTAAATACTGAGCACGAGTAACATTTTTAACTAGGCAGGTCCTGGGTGGTTTTGTTTAGGGTTCAGTGTGAACTAAGGTTAAGACCATATTCGTTTAAAAAGACCTAGTAAAACCTCTAAGATTTGTGGTATACTTTTGGTGTAGACCACTAATGGAAATGAACCATGAAGCACAGTTGGCTAGTGTTGCCGGAAGCTTCCTGATGTACCGCTGATGAACGGCAAAACCTCATGTTATTTTTGCACAGAAAAGAGCTCATTACTGGGGTCTATGATCAATAAATCTGCGCACCAGACTAGTTTTGTGTTTTAATCCATTAGTCTCAGTCTAGGAGTCCTACAGCCAATGAACTGGAACCTGTTGAGATTTTAAATGTACATTTAGCAGACAAAGGCACTTTTACAAAGTACAGACACTCCCCAGGTTATAATGGGTTTACGATCCGTTTAACCTATCATAAGGCAAAAATATTGTAAAGTATTTTAATACAGTACACCTAACCTAACAAGCATCATAGCCTAGCCATTAAAATGCTTAGAACATTTACATTAGCCTACAATTGAGCAAAGTCTTAACACAAAGCCCATTTTATAATAAAGTGTTGAATATCTCATGTAATTTATTGGGTAATGTACTGAAAATGGAAAACACAATGGAATTGGAATAACAATCAGAAAGTCAAAATATCATAACATGGACCATCGTAACCAAGGGAACGCCTGTATATGAATTATGTAGCTGTAAAATATTATGAGTTAAAAAAACAAAGCTATTGAGAAGGTAGAAACCTTGTGAGGAAGACCTTCATGCGGCCGTCCGACACCCCCGGGGGCACTTACGCTTAAGTTTTTCATTGGGCACATTTTCTTCACATTCCTCATTTCTTCTTTTGCTCTTTCTGGGTCCTGGACCAGAGACATGCAGAACGTCAGAGCACCACCATCAGCCATGAAGAGCTCCAGAGGACACCGAGTGACCGGGGGGGGGCTCCTACCTCTGGGGTTCTTCCGGAGATTCCTGAGGATCCTTAGCTTTGGGAACGTCTCCAGCATGTCTGCCTCCCTCAGAATCTTCAACATCTTCCTGCTGGAAGCTTCTCCCTTCTGGATCACACAGTCCAGCACCTCACACACCTTCTCAGATGGGTCATTCATGGCTTTGATGCTGTTATACTTCCTCATGTTGAGCAGGCCGCAGGAATGAGCATGTTGCAGCAGATAGTCAGAGTCTGCACTCAGAATGTCGATCAGCTTGGTCTTCAACTGTTGCAACGGCACACTGCCCTCTGCTGGCTGCCCTTCCATGTCTATCGAGCACATTCACACAAAGTACAGCGTATGGTTCACTTCTATTCTTACATTTCTACACAGCAGTCGAAAATGACCTCAACTGTAAAAATGATTTCAATGACGCTTTATTGCTCCCCACTGGCAAAATCCCTTTTCGCCTACCCCATCATGCTCTCAATGACACACATGTAGGCGGCAGTGTGTGGCTCAATGGGCTAAGCCTGTGTGCCTGTAATCAGAAGGTCGCATGTCTGTGGGTCCTTGAGCAAGGCCCTTAACCCCCAGCTCCCTGGGTGCCCCAACAGGTGGCTGCCCTTCGCAGACAACTTACTCTACAAAGAGCAAGTTGGAGGAGTTGTAAAGTCCATATAGATGAATAAAGAATCAATTATTATTATTAAGCTTGGCAGCGAAGGGCAGCCACCTGCAGCAGTGCCCATGGAGCTGGGGGGGCTTAAGGGTTTTACTCAAGGGCCCACAGACATGTGGCATTCTGCTGTAACCAGGCTTGAAGTGGTTCAGCCTGCTGAACCACACACTGCACTCCCAAGAAAAGGGGAGCCTGGATGATACAGCTGCCCACTCAGCCCCTTAAGCCATGGGGCAGGCAATAAGGGTAACCAAGAGAAGAGCCACCTACTCAGTCCATTACGCCAAAAATTAATCAAAATTATTCATTTTAAAAAATATTTAAAATTAGACCTGCTAAATGTACATGCTTTGCATGCTAAGTGAACTGAATTAGCAAAAACGTACAAAAAATAAGTCGAGACATTATTGAACTCACATCACTAATACTTTTTACCAACCTACGGCATATATTTTTTGTAGATTTGATACATATTCATATTAATGGTGTACAACAAATTATATCGATATATTATTTTATACCAAAATATACAACAAATTATTTTACATCGTAACACAGTGGTTCAATAATATTGTTACAGAACAATAAAATATCTGAACAATTAATTATGCTGTACATGCTTCACGTAGGATTTTTACCCCGTTTTGCCAAGGAAAATATATTTAACTTCTGTAGCGTTACGGGTGCACTTCAAAGTACCTTTAAGTGCGCGCGGCTCGCAGGATTAAACGCCTGTACTATGAGGTCAGGTGCGGGCGAGCAACCCGATTAACCCCCATTTAAAACCCGACATACCGGATAAGCGAATACGTGAAATAACCAGTGCTCTACTTTCAAATTATAATAAACTATTATAAACCATAAATCCAGCAAGAAGAGCCGTTTACCTCTCATCTGTCTTTTTCTATGGTTTTTCTGAAACAATAAATAAGGAAATAAAAATCACCTACAAGAACAACTCCGTACGTTAAGGGCGTGTGAGTACGCGCTACTGCCCCCTAATGCTTCGGAGTTCAAACATTTTCTAACCTTTTATGCAATATCACGTGACCGATGACGTCCGATTCGTCCTGCGGTGTCATAGGTTCGGATCCTGTCGGCTTCATAAAAGCGAGATGAAACCTTTGGGCATCATGGGGTTCTTTTGCGGTTGGTGAGACTGATTGTTATACATTTTTTTACATTGTTATACATTGTTGCATTACATAGAACACCGCATTCTATTCATTATGGAAAGTGGCGATCCTTGGATGTTTTGGAACATTTTGAGCTATGTCCCATTAAGGTGAATGAATATTCATATATAAAATACGACTACTACTACTAATAATTATTATTATATTATTATTAATATTATTAGTTCCATTGTTGGTTATTTGAGCCAGTTCTCGTCTGCCATGTGGCAATCTGGGTTTCGTTTCACTTGCTGTAAATCTCCATGAATGCTTAGCTGCTGCTTAATGGAGTATAACTGATATTATTGTAGACAGAGCAGGCATTTAAATCAATCCAGTGTCATTGAATGTACAGTTTATTTGGTCAAGTCAGTCAATCAAACATAAGTCATTGAGACCAGGGGTGGTTTCCTACTCATCCAGTAGTTCCTCATAGTTCAGCTTCACCTGGTAGATCTCATCAGCTCTGTTTTGTGGGGTTTTTCCATTCAAAAACACCTAACTTCATCTGGCTGATATTATTCAGGTGTAGTCATTATTATTCAGTATCTTGGACCTTAGCAAGCTTAAACAGAAGGACATTTCAATCCCTTCAACATGTTAACATGCTGAGCGCCCTTCACTCACAGATCTTTGTGAAGACAAGTCCTGCCAGCTTCTTCATGACTTCTTCAAGCCATGCATTCAAATTGTACCCACCGCACCCAGTTATGCAAAGTGACTGCACAAATTCTGTGTCATTTGACTGTAAACTGAGCCATTGTGGGGCATCACTGCTGCACTGCGACCTGTGGGCCCCTCATGGGACAGAGACCTCAAGCTCATGGGACAGAGACCTCAAGCTCATGGGACAGAGACCTCAAGCTCATGGGACGGAGACCTCAAGCTCATTACCGGGTTCTGTGTGCACCTGCCTCCCAGCACTATAAGAGTCCTCTGCTACTCTTTTCTTCTGAGAATCCACACAATTCCCAGTCTTCCAGCAGAATTTGACATGGCTGGTACTTTTAAAATTACTATGTGTGTGACCACTTTCTTTTACTTACTTAATTTAGGCTTATTTATTACTCTTTTTATTTATTTAAGATCGGAGCCGTATTTTCTTTATGTGGGTGAAATGCAATTTCGTTGTACATTTGTACAATGACAATTAAAGGAATCCAATCTAATCTAATCTAATCTAATCTAACACACAGAATGCGAATGTGTGCTGATCCTGTCATCATACAAGCCTGATTCCTCTTGTTCGGACTTTTGGAGAGTACCGTGACTTAAACTATACTCTGTGTTCCTTTAAACAATACTCTGGTATGTATCCTTAAGCTCCATCTGATATATACCCTGAAACAACACTCTGATTTGTACCCTTAAACAGCCCTCTGATATGTACCCCCACACAACACTGATATAGTGGCAGCTCTGGCTTGCACTGCGCCCTGGGCAAACCCCCCCCCCCCCCTTCAGTATTTCCTATCATTTCGCACCCCCATCTGCCCTGCCAATAAAAACGTGCACCATTCAGCACTGCCATTGTTATAAAGACGTTTGGAATGATATAAATTGATAATCGTAAAATGTAAAACTATATAAATATAAAGACACATACGAGAAAGGTTCATACAAATCCAAAAAGATTCAAGATTCAAGATTCTTTATTCGTCACATACATAGTTATCACAAGTACAACATGTAGTGAAATGAACCCTGAGCGATTCTAAGAAAAGTAACAAAGACAAATAGAAACAAATTGTAGTATTTACATTTCTAATCTAATCTAATTATTGTCCTTGAGTGTTTCAAAGGCACTGTACACATAAAACATTATTATTATTATTATTGCCTAACAAAAATACTAGTGTGATATTACCCTAATTCATTACATGTCTAGTACTCATAATGATATTTAATGGCTGTATACCTTTATATGACTGGTTTTACTCATTGCATCAGTTCTGTACAAAGTTAGAGGTGCACTATTTGATAGATTCCCACTCTCCCCTCAACCTACCCCCATCCCCATCTCCTACTTCTGAGCTGTAGCCTGCTAGCTCATAAACCAGAATCAGGGCATTCAGTCCCACAAGGTTAATTGACCCACGCGATGACATGATGTCATTCACGTGATGTGTAAATGAGCAATAGAAAACCAATCACCGATTACATTTGTTTTTCCCTTGTGTGGGCACCCCATTTCGCCCCCCAGCCCTGGGTGGCTGCCCATGCCCCATGTTGCCCATATGTACTCTTAAACAGCCTTCACATGTTTACCCTTAAACAGTACTCAGGTATCTACCCTTAAAAAGTACTCTGTTATGTTCCCTTAAACAGTACTCTGGTATGTACCCTTAAAAAGTACTCTGGTGTGTACTCTTAAACAGCCCTCTTACTCAGCATATACAGTAGCGTCAGTCCCTTGACAGTGAAAGTACATTTCCAGGCTCTGATGCTCATCTCTGTGCTTCACTTTCATGTTTGCTTTTGTCAAACACAGATTCCCATCTGGCACAGCACATTACCCACAGATAATGGTGCCCTGCGCTTTTCTCTCACGTCACTCCGAAGAGCTTGATAGGCTGGCTGGACGACATACATCATTGCTAAAGATGGATGCTGCTTCTCTTGCATGTGCTTGGTCAGGCTTCTCACACAGGCTTAGTTCCACCATGTTATTTCAGGCTTTTGGCTCACAGTTAAGCCATAGCTTCTTCTGCAGGTGGCTGCAATACCTATACTGGCCGGAGACAACCACAACTCCCAGAAATTCCTGTGAGAGAACCCAGAGTCAACCATACCATCCAAAGTTCCCTGTGACAGAACCCAGAAACAACCAGAACTGCAGGGGTACAGAGTTCCCTGTGAGGGACCCAGAGACACCCACAAGTCCCTGAGTTCCCTGTGAGGGACACAGAGACACCCACAAGTCCCTGAGTTCCCTGTGAGGGACCCAGAGACAACCACCCTTCCCAGAATCCTCTTTGAGGGACACTTCTTGAGTTTAAGTTATGTGTTCTTAGTAGGTTCATAACAGTTACGGCTCAGCTCCAACTCCTGTTCCTACTAACTCAAACTGTTGGGGCTGGTTGCGTAATCCTCAGTTCACCAAGCTGTCATGGGATATTCCACCAAAAAAGGAATGTAGCAGCAGATCATATCAGAGTGATTTCACCTCAGACGCTTACGAGCACGTAAATGGGAAGGGCAGTCTGTCTGCTCTACCTGTGTCTGCAGGTACCCCAACATCTGTTATGTTCACTGTAGCAATGACTCATCCCACATGACCTCCGAGCGATTTCCTGCAAACGCAGGGAAGGGCATTGTGTGAGTACAGCCGTTGAAGTTTTACTGTAAGAGGTTCAGATGTTTTTCAGCCTGTGAACCATGTACTTACCGATTTCATAGGGCAGAGATGTGCAGTATTTCAAATAAATGTATTTAAATATGTATTGAGTTACTTTTGAGTATTTTTTAAATTGTATTTTGCTTGATGGAAAAAGATCTGATGTGATTTATAACAAAATACTTCAAGAGATCATATTTTATGTATTTTAAATATATAAAATATTTAATAAAATACGTCATTTTCTTAATTTTCTCTTATTTTAAGAACCTTCCTCACAAGGCTTACAGACTTTTAAATACAGCCTATCACCGTCTTTAGCCAGATGTAAGTAAATCACGTGACTTGCCTCATTGGGCCCCGCGTGCCCGTTGCTTAGTTTTTCCGATGATCAGTAATCCACGGAAATTAAAAACACTTTGGTGCTCGGTGCAAATTGCCTTAAGGTAAAGTATGATGCACAATACATACAATCGGATATTGCTCACCTGATGTTATTACAGGACATAGAAACAGAGCAGTAAATAAACAGCTGAACTGTGCTTTAGAACTTGTGAATTAACTTGCTAGCCCGCTAGTGCCAGACACTGTCGGACAAAGCGAGAAATTCAGGCATTATGATAATTAATTTTAAAAAGCCTCGGTGTGCCTCCCTGCGGGTGCACACGCACATACCGGGCACCCCTGTCAGCCACCGCCACTGATTCTGGGAATAAATTAAGGGTGCAGGAGTCCTGAACCTGAGACCGTAACCACCATGCGCACCTTCATGGTTCCACATCGCGGTTCTGTAATGCAGATTGGCGACACTGCCCCCACCCACCTCGTCGCGTTATTAATGTTACAAAAGTCATTTTTCATTGACAATTAACACTATACCATAAGTAAATCACAAAATTATTATTCCCTTTAAAGTTAGGGAAAGCTGTAAATTTTGTAATTATTACACATTACTAGGGCTGTTCTGTACACGCATTTGTTGTGTACCGTTTTCAAATTACAAATTACTTGTATTTTAGTTAAATACATTGCTCACAGCAGTATTTTGTCTTGTTACCTTTGATGAACAAGTATTTGCGACAAGTTATGTATTTGTGCCCATCTGGCATTATAAGTGAGGCATTGAAACTGAGCTGTCGCTGTGGTGGCTTGGGGACATTGATGGCATCCAGCTCTTGACCGCTTGTGTTGAACCAGTATTTTTCTTCACATGAGCGAGTGAGTGATGCTGCCTTCATCCTGTTAAATATGACTCATCTTGAGATCTTGAGTGGGAGCCTCGCTCTTTCTTAGGAGGCTGGAGGGAGTTTCCACTGTTCCCAGAAACCAGACAGTGACTTAGACACTGACCCGCCCACAAGTGTACATGCCTCCCATGAGCTCGCTTTACAGAGAACAGGGAAGAGCGGAGACACATTTGGGTGGCAGTGCACACCTGGCAGGTGAAAAGCAGCACTCTGTCATCATTGGTGCGCCGAGTCACATGACCAGGTGACCCCGCCTCCTCCAGTCCCGCACACATATACAGGCTGACTGAGTGTGCTGACTGTTACCGAGCTGCCCTGAAGGACTAGCACGCCGTGGAAGAGAATCTGGAGCCTGGGATTTGTGGGAGAGACGATAAGCCACAAAGACTCACAGCCCCTGAAAGAGAAGCACCAAGAGTAACACAGAAAAGGCAGATCCCTAACTAAAACCAAAGGTAAGTTTGGCAGAGGCTTCATCAAACATTTTCCACTTCAGGACAAAAAGGGCTCCAGCAGAATGAACTTGGGGCAGCTGCAGTCACTGACACTCCCTGTTTCTGGTGCCCTAAGCTGAGACGAGGAACTTGTGGTGAACATGTTGGTCTAGAATATCAAGTTACACAGAGTTTATACTATAACTGGAATATTAATCTCAGCAGAGTATTAGCCCGTATAACAACTGGAATATTAGTGTTTTCTCTGGCTGATGACTGCAGTAATAGTGTGTCTCCAGTATTAATTTCTTGATTGGCTGCAGTAATAGTCTGTAGTGTGGTTACAGTATTCATTTATACACTGGCTACAGTCTACAACTGTGCTAAATCTGTATAGTTTCCACTGCATGGTGAAGAAATACTCTGTTCCATTGTCCATGACACACAGGTGCCATTGTGGTGATGAGCTTTGCTTCAGGTAAAGGGCCAGGAATCCAAGGTCAAAAAGCAGTGTCAGGATCTGTCATTGGACATCGAAGGCAAGCTGGCTTGTGATGGGTTTGCTGCCAGACGTGATTATCATCCCAGTGCTGTTAATGTGGGCTGGTTAGGGAGATGGCCTGCCTATAGGAGCTCAGCTGGGGGGGAGGGGAGGGGGGCTCTGTGGAGTGGGCCCCAGTTCACACTCGCATGCAGCCGTCACAGAATTTACTCGTTCCATGGTGCTCACCTGCTCAGCTTTCCTGCTGTCGGGTATAAAAATCACCAGGCGAGGTTTGTCCAATGACAGTGGCAGGGTGCTCTTAATTAGATGGAGGGGCTGTTAATTAGCACAACTTTATTATTTGGCTCATCATCAGCCATGTCTGTTAACGTGTAGCGTGTCCCTCCTGCACCACACTGACCTGTGTGACCATGTTTCCCTGCTTGGTAGGTTTTTAGGGATGTCTGTCCTCTCTAAGACTCCCCTCGCTTTCCCAAATTGCACCACACCTGAGCCCAACCTTGCACCATACAAATGCTACGTCCACAAGGTGGTGTCATGTAGCCATTTCAGGTTTAGCGCAGTAGAGTCACGCTGGCGCCCCCTCCTGGCAGGCGTGGCACACTTTAGTGGCCTGTGGCTTTGCACTGGTGTGTCTGGCCAGGCATGCTCACTGCGCTTCTACTGCATGCTCACTGCGCTTCTACTGCAACTGCTATGATGACATATATGGGGCTGGATTTGTATGGAGAGGGATTAGTCTAACAGACGCTTCACAAATGTGTTTTACTATCCACCCATAAATATCTCTCAACTTGTCTTGTAAATTTAATTTGTAAAATGTGGAATGATGTGCACACTTATATAAACATTTGCGTGAAGAAACTTTCTGTTTCTATAGACTCCTTACAATTTGCCTGTGTGTGTTTTTGCGACAGTATATTTTAAAATGTACCACCCGTTTGTGGAACCTTAAAAGTGCATTTGTGGATCACGAAGTCCGATCCACGTGCACATAGCTGCTGATCGGCGTAGCTCCGGTAGCGCTAGGGGGCGCTAATGTGTCTGAAATCCAGACACAATCATTTTATCTCGACTTATTTTCCTGCAAATTAGTCAGCTTCTCAGTTAATCGGAGTACTGCTGACTTTGCTCAATGGAATGGATGAAGCTGGCAGAAACCAGCATATTGAATGGGCACATGTCAAGATAGAGGTATTTGTGTGTGGATAATGACACCCATTTGAGAAGTGTGCCTTACACACGCACTGTGCTACACGCATTTGCAAATAAAATTGAGACTAATCTCTCTCCATAGATTTGCAGGACAGGACATTCATAATAAAAGTAGGTAGAAAGACCCCCCCCCCCCCCCCATTCCCGGATATGCAAACATGTTCTTTCTAAGGAATCTGCCTTTTGGTGATTCTGGGAAAATTTCCAGGGAGAGGGGAAAATGAAAACATTCCTTGTGCCAGTAAAACTTCCCTGGATATGGAGACGCATGCGGCAGGAAGTGCTCCCTGGGCCTGATTCCTGGGGGGGGCGTAACGTCCTGGAAACACACTCTGCGTGATCAAGAGCGGATCCCTGTTCCGCTCGGGGCCGCCTGTGTCGACACAGGCCGTGTTGAGTTCCACTGCAGTCTGTGTTTGCAGTGCCTCTAAGCCGCATGTCCCACCTATCCCAGTTTGCGGTCTGCCTCCCCAGTGTCTCCCCAGGGTCACTGGTGCTACCAGGCGTGGGTTTCTCATTTCTGAGGCTCCACTCAAAAGGTCACTTTGGCGACGCTACTGTTGGTGTGTTTAGACAGAAGATGGTAGCTAGTTAACTAGTTAGCAGAACTTGCTGTTTCAGCTTCTCCTAAATAAGGTGGGTGTTTGTTTATTAAGTGTGGTGACAGATGAGTGGTTTGAGTGGTGGTCACAGGGTCAGGGAGGACACTGTGCCGTTTGCTTGCCTGAGGTGCATTCTGGGTACTGCAGGCTTTGTTATTAAAGAACGGCCCTTAGTGCCCCACCTCTGCAGGCTTCTCAGCCCCGCCCTTCCATAATGGTAACAGTGCCCCTCTGCTCCCCGTGTGTCCAGGCCCTGGAACTGCAGAGATGGAGGCCAGTCCGTTTAGCCGCCGGCAGTGGGCTGCACAGTCACTGCGAGTCACTGCCAAGGAGATCTCCCTGGTGGGCGTGAGGGGGAGGAGCAGCGCCATCGCCGACCGCTTCACCAAGTGCGTCTTCACCAATCGCCTTCTACGACCTCACACTCGCCCCACTAATGTCTCAGCAGGCCCTGGGGCCCCTGGACACTCAGCCCCAGCTGTCCTTGGGGCCCCTCCTGCCCTGCCTCTGAGCCCCAGCAGGCCTTAGGACCCCTCCTGACCTGCATCAGTGCCAGCCTCAGCTTGATTATAAAGCTGCTGCGTGTGACATGGAAATCACTGAGATGTTAAGAAGACTGTAGCTCACCACCATGTGGCCGATTCTTTAAATGCTGGTGCCAGATCCTGGACTGCACCAGTTTCCCCTCCCCTGTATAATATAGATCTTTAATAGTGATCCAGCCCCCCCCCCCACCATGATGGCATAGCTTTCCAAACCGTAACCGACAGGATATGGTGCAGAAAGACAGCACCACCTGCTCACCTGCTTTGCGTCATGTACGTAACCAAACACTTGAGGCAGCCAAAGCAGGCTCTATGTGTGCAAAGCAGGAGCTGCATTTTTCCTTTTTAACTGCATTTTTGCTGAAGTTATTGTTGTACTTCTGCAGTCCAGCAGAGGACAGCACTGATTAGGACACAGCGAGCAGCAAGAAAAATGTCTTTAGGCAGGTGATTTAAGAACCACACAGCCTTACAACAGCTTGTGGTCCTCTGGCTTCAGAATGGGATTATGGGGGCGGAGCTATGTGTGGGGGCGGAGCTATGTGTGAGGGCGGGGCTGATGGGGGCGCTGGATTAGGGCACAGTGTTGTGAGATCTTCAGGGGACTCTTCCTGTTTTCAGCTCTTCCCTATTTCTTCTGTTTAATACCTCAGATATCAAAAGGCTGCACAAGAGGTGAACTGGGACAAGAAGAAGGCAGTGAGTATCGCTCAGACGGGAACACTGGGAACACGGCATGCTGGGAAGGGAGGCGGAGTCAGTCACACGGGCACCTCACACACCAGTCTGATCTGGCCTCAAGCGAGCAAACCTCTTTTCTCAAACTCAAACCATAAGCAGTCGTTTTTTCATTCTTAGTCAGATTTCCTGCATAAATTCTGTTCCTGCATAGATTTATATTTGTTTATTCCAATTTTATGGACTTGCCTGGAGTTTCACACGAACATTAAAATGATTAACAGACCACCCTGCATGTATGCAAAATATTTTATAGTTTAAAAGGATTTGCCTGTTATCTGTTTGCTTTCCTTTTCCACAAACTGTTTATGTGTGAGTTACAATACAGCCTGTGTTTTAGGAATCAAAGGAATTTCCAGACCACAACACACTATGTTCCACACTGTTATGCAAAAAGATTTCCTGCCGATCTTTCATAGTGTCTTCCCTCTGAGGTACTTTGATGACAGTTACCTGCATCTAATTTATTAATTTATTAACAAAGCTGACACGTAAGACAGATTTCACTGCGGAGCAGAAGACTGGAACTGTTACTATCTTGACGCTGCTAAGATGACAGGCAGAGACCATCGTGCCATAAAAGATGCGGCAGAATTGAATGCAGTTTGGAAAAATTCAAATAAGGGGAACCAATGAAAGTCGTTTCACAAGGTGAACTCATCCTCATGAAGCCTTTAGCCAACAGCAAAGAGATATCTGTCAGCATGAGGAGGGCCATGTGACCGTGGCTCAGCACTGAGGGCGGAGTGTCCCCTTGCAATCCCTGATCCTCGCTTAGACTCCCTAATCTGCGGGTAATCCATCTAGGTTAGCATTAGCGATAATAGCTGCAGGCGTGCTGGTCCAGGATGGGGGGGCAGCCAGCAGGAAGCAGCTTGCAGGTACCAGCTCTGGTGCCCTGGACGCATTGCTGGGACGAGGTCCTACTTGAATGCTTCTCTTATGTTCTGAGGTTCTTGGTTTAAAGTACCAGGTGTGTGGTAGGGTTAGGGCCTGCTCAGTAAATGGTTAAGTGCTTCTGTCTTATTAACCACGCACCCTCCATGTTGGAGTTCTTGGGAGTGAGACAAGCGTGTGATTGTCTCTCCGCGCATCCTGTCACCCGTCAGAGGACTGCCACGCAGCGGCTGGGCCCGCCCCCCCCACTCTCACCCGACCTTTATAGCTATGGTTTTAAATTTGCTTCTAGGCAAACATGCTGAGAGTCGCATGCTGTCCACACACAGGGGACCCATTCAGAAGTTGGGCCTCTGCCTTTAAAGCATTTGCATCCTAGAAAGCCAGAACTCCAGCGTCATTTAACACCCCCCCCCCCTTCCGGTCACTGTATGCATGGGGCTGCTCTCAGAAGGTGTGGGAATGGAACTCCTTCTCCCTGGAGATCTGGACCTACTGCTTCCCACTTAAAGTGTGTGTCACCATGGAGAACCTAAAACCAAATTCCTCTTTCACTCTCTCTTTGACAAAAGTTCATTACAGTTCAGGTCTTGGGCAGCGAATGGTTAAAAGTTTCCCCAAAATGTATCATTTCCTGCTTTGTTCCTGTTTTTTCTGCGCTTCCTCCTCCCCTCCCCCCTCCCCCCCACGGCTCTGGGGGGTGGGCGAGCCATCCCACAGTCCTTCCCTAACTGCAAACATCTGGCAGGTCTTTGCTCATTTCCACGGAGGCGGACGGAGCAGGACGCCGGTGCTGCCGCGACTCTCTGCCAGGTTTCGTACTTCTCTTTAAAAGCTGAGCTCTCTTTGACCGCTTGCTGTGTTTGCTGTCATGTTGTGTGCTGTTCTTTGCTGGTGAAGACAAGCATGTGTAGATCTGCTCACACCAGCCTGTGTCTCGTTCTTGTGGGGCCACCTTGTCCTGTTGAATTGCCGAAATATGACTTGAGGAGGAGGATTTCTGGAACAGACTGCAATGGTTTTCATTAAACCTACGGAAGAGTGTGGGAAATTTGTGAAGGTGACACATCTGTGAGATCGGTGGAATGGATGGCAAACTGCTGTATAGATGATCTGTTGCTTTTATTTCCAGTTGTTGCTCGCTGCTTTAGTAGGGTCTGCTGCTGTTTGGAAATGCTTTATGGGACTGCAGGTCTTCAGATACACACTGAGGTCCTCAAATATGTAGCTTTACTATCAACGAGGTCCTCAGAAATGCAGGTTTCCGACCAGTGAGCAGGTTTCTGATTAGTAAAGTCCTCAGAATTGCAGGTTTCTTGCCCCACGCCTGTGTCGTCTTTCTCCCCTGGGGCTTTGTGTTCTGTTTGTGAGAATCTCCCACACTGTGCCGTTCGCATGACGGCGCTGGGAGTTTCGGATGATGACGGCAAGACGCGGCGTGATGCCCTCTAAGCAGCCATGGCTCCCTTTCCTTCTGCATCCCCTGTTGGCTTCTGTGTTGTCATTCATTCACTAAAGGAATCGAACCCGATGGGGTGCAGAGCTTCCTTTGGGATTCTGTACCCTGGTTGTTCATTTTTTTCCCCTGATAAAGTGAGACCCAGCGTTCCCGATGCCGCATTCCTGACCCGGCGTTCCAACTCCATGTTCCCAATGCCGCATTCCTGACCCGGCGTTCCAACTCCATGTTCCCAATGCCGCATTCCTGACCCGGCGTTCCAACTCCATGTTCCCGATGCCGCATTCCTGACCCGGCGTTCCAACTCCATGTTCCCGAAGCTGCATTCCTGACACTTCGTTCCTATTCTGCATTCCCAACTGCACATTTCAATTTTCATGTTCCCAAATCTATGTTCCAACGCGGAGTTCTCGGTCCTTCGTTCCCTACCTAGAGTCCTTTGTTCCCTACCTTCATATGCATTCTCAGCTTCACGTTCCCAACTCCATGTTCTCAACTCTATGTTTCGCCGCTGCATTCCTAGTCCTTCGTTCCCGACCCAGCATTTCCGACTTCACATTCCAGGCACTCCATTCCCAATTCTGCGTTCCCGACACTGTGTTCCTAACTCCAAGTTCCTGACGCGGCATTTCCGACACTGTGTTCCCAGTCCTACATTCCCAACTCAGCTTTCCCAATCCTGCATTCCAGGCACTGCATTCTTAATCCTGTATTCCCAGCACCGCATTCCCAATCCCACATTGCACACACTGCATTCCTGATGCCGCATTCCAGACTCCATTTTCCACACTCTGTTTCCAATGCCACATTCCCGATTCTGCAATTCTGTTCTCAAGTGAATCGTTGTGTGAACCGTCCGACCTGCTGGCTGGCAGCGGGTGACAGTGCCAGTGCCAGTGCCAGTGCCAGTGCCAGTGCCAGTGCCCGCACAGCCATAATTCCTGCTTTCTGCTGGCAGGTGGTGGACAGCCTCTCCCCCAGCGTCCGCGGCGGTAACCTAAGTGTGCTCAGGAGGCACTGGGAGGAGATCCCCTGTGCGGAGTCAGCAGCCCCAGCCTCACCTCAGAGAACCCGACACGACCCGGAGGAGGACGAGGTCTTCATGGAGAGAGCCCAGCAGTGGGCACAGGTGGTGGCGGGTGCCAGCCGGACCCCCGTGGTACCCAGCTCCCCTGCCGAGAAGCCTAGCGTGCCGCTCAACAGCCTGAAGATGATGTTTGAGGGGGGGGGCGGCACGCCGAACAGGGTGAGTTCCTGACCTCCCTAACCCTGACCCGTAAACCTCCTCTCTCACTCTGTCAGGTATGGCGCTGGGGACATGTATGTGTAGCGTGTCCTTTTAGCCGTGTTCTCCTACACGCGTAACAGGACACGTCAACACCCTGTGAGTGGGAAAGCAGGATGGTATGTAGGGGTCACATACGTGTGTAACATGTGGCATGTCATAGATGCTCCGTGTTCCCAGAGCGTGTTTAGATGCACTGAAATGCAACCTCATGACAGGATGGAAGCAGAACATGGGTGAGGTCAGATCGTGTAATAGGGCTTGAAGGCCTTGGTCATGGTTCCTCTGGAGTAATGCAGTCGCAGTTGGCTGTGCGGACCGGCGTCTGTGACACTCTCCTGGCCTTTCAGGATCCTCCTCATTCCTGGTTCCATTAATACTGGTTTTGCTCACATCATGTGACCTTTGTCAGCTGACAGGAAATGCCGCACGCAGCTTAAGGGCAGAGAGGAGGATGAGGCCAGCTGAAGCTCTGCCTGCTGAGAGTGTACAGGCATGCGTGCATGCTCACACATGTGGGCTACACTCTCACCCTACAGTCACACACACACATACAGATGCACACCCCCGTGTGGACACCTGGAGCAGGGATGATGTGATTGGAGAGGTATGCGCCCCCAGCCCAGCTCCTCTTACACTCCATTCTTCTGTTCCATCAAAGCCTCCCTTTTTCCCCTTCTCCCTCTCTCTTCCCCTCTCTTCTTCTCCCTCCCTCTTTCCTTCTCTCTCTTCCCCCTTCCCACTTTCTCCCTCTCCCTTTCTCTCCCTCTCGTTTTCTCTCTTTCCTTCTCTCTCTCCCCCTTTCCCCCTCCCACTTTCTCTCTCCCTCCCACTCCTTTTTCCCCCCCTCTCACCTCCTCCTCCATCTCTTACCCATTCTCTCTTTCTCCCTGCGTTTTCGCCCGAGCCTTCGGACAGAATGAGCCACCCTCCGCATGCCCGCCCGATCACCTCGCTCCCCCCAGGCCTGTCCTGTGCTGTCCTGTCAGCTACATGCAGCAGCTTACTGGAGAGCAGCTGGCTTATCGTGTAATCCGAGTGCCCGAGGGCCGTAGGGCGGGGCTACCCAGGCCGTTCCCCGAGCGGCGCGTGTGTGTCACGCCAGTGTCGGGTTACCACCTCTCCGCTGAAGCCCTTTGTGCTACATTCTGTATCTCGTTTTCCTGCACAAGCTGCAGTGCCCTGGGTGGGACGTACTAGAATGGGCTAAGATGTTGCATTACACTTAAATAGCAGATAATGGATCCCAAACAACATGTTTAAAGTCACGGAGGACTGTGAAGTCTGTGAAGGGCTACCTTACCTCCGCATTTCTAAAATCATTATCATGTTCTCCCACTGTCCGCAGACAATCTGGCCTTTTAACTTTAGAGTAGCTGAACACCCCCTCAGGAAATGCATTTTGGGTGAATAGAGTCACACAAAGCGAGTCCGACCAGTTAACTCTTCACAGGACCTTTAGCTATTTCCGAGCGCATATTTTAACCTGTACAGGCGAGCCCAGTGGTTCAGCTGGCCAGTGGGGTGGCGCTCTTGCCTCACACCCCAGAGCCATGTGTGTCGATGGAGCAAGACCAGCACCCCTTACTGTTAATCCAGCCCTAGCTGGACGTTTATCAGCGAGCCCCCCCCCCCCCCCCAAGGTCCCCTATCTGCTTGAAGAATCGGGAATGCATTCCTTCATTCTGTGGGTATAATGTCTCTCAGCAGGAACAGGGAAGGGGTGCTGTGCCCGTGCTCCAGTTTGGACTAGGAGCCTCACCTTCCTGCAGGCCAGGAGCTCCTGCTATGGAGAGCAGAGGGTGTCACTCTGGTGCCCAAGCCCCTGTGAGCTGTACTTCACCTGCAGGGGTCGCTATTATCCCTCCTGTGCACAGCCAGCAGTGATTAATGCCATGCCACACAAACACAGCAGCTGCTGGCCTGCTAAGAGGCTTTACCCCGATTGGCATCAGCTCCCTCGCTCTGCTCCCGGAGGCCAGACAGCTGGCTTCACCCCCGGCCTGGTGACCCACCCCCCGCACCCCCTACCCCTCCCCCGAGATGTACCCCAGGAAGTGGCTTGTATTTCTTTACTTATAAACCTCATGCCACACTAGTGTGTTTAAGCGATGCCAGGAAATCCAGCAGGACCAATAGGAAACTGCTGTAAACTCCAGACTCCAATTAGCATCGCTGAGCTCATTAAGACTCCCTTAGGTGTGAGAAACAGCAGGATCTTGGCAGGAAGGGTAAAATAGGAAAAGGGTGGATGGCGAGCTTCACGTAGCTGGTGGGTCTCCACGCTGGAATGTTCTGGTGCGGAGGTGGGATGGACGTGGCACATGGAGTACAAGCGGCGTGAGACTGGTATTAATCTACTGCCATCAGTCCTTACTGATGATGTCTGTCTTCTCTGGCCAGGTGTCCAAAGAACCTGTGAAGAGCAGCATCTTCTCAGAGGACATGGATCACCTGGAGGACAAAGGTATGAAGGTTAGGGTACGAGGGGGTACAGAGGGGAGTTACACCGAAAGCACTCTAAGTATGCATGCCCCCCCACCCCAGGCCTCCTGGAGCGGCCGGCGTCCCCCAACCGCCTGGAGAGCACGCCTCTGCGGGACAGGATGGCCAAGTACCAGGCAGCTTTGTCCAATCAGGCCCCATCATCCTCTGGGCAAAGCGTGAGTGGCTGAACTGCTTTTATATCCGTGTGTCACATGACCAAGGACTGCTTGTCGGAGTAGCTCTGAATATCACTCCGCACAAGCCTTATATAGCTGAAGCTGCTTAAGCTGAATGCTGCAAATGCTGGACGGGTCCTCTGGAGCATCCACAGCTTGGCGCTGGTCCAATTTACAACTGGACCGTCCTCCATGTGTCCTGATGTGATTCATTAAATGTCCCATTGTTCTAGATTCCTCCTTGGCATGTCCTCAACTGTCCCTGATCCGTCTTTGATTTGTCCCCTGTGTCTGCAGGGCGACCCAGTGGAGCCTGAGGTCCGCATCCATACCACAAAACAGAAGGAGAATGTCCCCCCCGACTCCTCCAACACGGTGAGAATCCAGGTCACATGACCACTGAATGTTGCAGCATTAGCAGATTTACTTGGGCAAGCGGGGGCCCAGTGTGCTCAGGATTTAAGTGTGTGTATGCGGGCTAATAAATATGCTAACACACCCCCCCCCCCCCCCTCCCTCAGGACGCGACCTCTGGCCCCGTCGGCAGGGCCTGCTCCACCATCGATAGCAGCACCGGTGAGTGTCGGGGGTGCCTGGGGAAGAGGAGTGTCGCACCTCCTCCTATCTGTGTGTGGACATCGCCTACAGCAGTCGTTTCCTGTTTTGCAGGAGCTCCGGCACCCGTGTGCGACTACAGTGCTGGTTCCCTGCTGGGTCCGTCACATGAGCACAGCCAACCCCGGACACCCAGGGTAAGTCCTCTCACACTCCCACGGTCCTGTGTGCCTTTTACAGCCTAAGTTAAACACTCGAGTGGAGCTGGCATCAGGCTGCATGTCATTAACAGAGTGTCTGTGTGTAGAAGTTTCAATCGGCCGCGTGGGAGACCTGTGTGTGCTGCCTGAAGACGGTGTATCCGCTGGAGAGGCTGGTGGCTGCTCAACAGATCTACCACAGCGCGTGTTTCCGCTGCTCCCACTGCAACACCAAACTCAGGTATGGGAGGTACAGATCGCTGCAGCCATTTTTCTGGGAGAGGAACGGGTCTAACATTTGTTTTTCTTTGTCGCCCTCCGGTGGCCAGCCTTGGGAACTACGCCTCCCTGCACAGCAGCGTTTACTGCAAGCCTCATTTCAACCAGCTGTTTAAGGCCAAGGGCAACTATGACGAGGGTTTTGGTCACCGACCTCACAAGGAGCTGTGGGCCCCCCTCAGCGAGGGCGGTGATGAAGAGATGGCTGAGAAGGAGGAGCTTGTGGAGTCTGAGGACACTCTGACAAGCACGACGGTAGAGGAGTCATCTCTGGCCAAGGTCAACGTCTTGGCCGCATCCCTGGAGACGCGTGCCCAGACGGTCCCCGAGCCAGATCAGCCGGGCCCAGACAGGGCTCTGGAGACACGGCGGCTCAAGGTTTCCTGGCCACCATCTGCCGAGGGCGAGAAGGTTCCGGGTGGGGTTGGAGCGGCTGTGGAGGGGGGCGCCGTGAGGCCCAATCGAGCCAAGTGGCCCCCCGAGACCAGCGCCAAGGAGTCCCTGTCGACACAAAGCCCCGAACGTGCTGAGCTTGCTAACCTGCGCCGGTGTTCCTCCCTGAAGGAGCGTAGCCAGCCCTTTTCCCTGGCTAGGCCCAGTCCCTCCCCCACCTCTGCCCCCAGAGAGCCCCAGCGCCCACGGGGAGGTCTGCCGGAGAGGCAGGGCTCGCCTGAAACGGGATCACCCACAGCCACGCCCCACAGCAAGGAAGAAGGTGCCTCAGACGATGCGGATTTGGAAGCTGAGCCGGAAGAGGCGGTTCAGAAGGATGGCGAAGTTTTCACGCCAACGGTGGACCTCCCCGAAGAAGGAAGACGAGAGCAGCCGCCATTCGAAATGTGCCAAGGCGTCTGTCCCGGGGTCCCGAGCGATAGCTGGCACAAGCGGGGATCTCAGGAAGTCGAGTCTGGGGATGGAGAAGAGGTGGACGAGGCTGGGGAGCATCTGTCTGTGGAGGAGCTGATTAAAAGGAACCGTTACTATGAGGAGGATGAGGAAGAGGAGCAGTTTGCCTGAATCAGAGTTGGGAGGAGGAAGTCCGGCCTCTCGACTCTAACTTGGTGCTCGCTGCCTTGACCCCTTTGCCTTTCTGGGCTTGATCATTTCTCTGATGCCTCATTATCTTCTCATCGTGCCTTTTACAGAGACCTAGTGGTGCTGATGCCAAGCGGAGAACAAGGTGCCCGCACTGCATCCCTCTCGTGTTTCTCGAACACGTCGCTGTGTCCGTAAGAAGGTCGCCACCTGGTGTTAAACACACGGAATGTACTCGGGCATTGCACATTAACTGGTAAAGGCAGGTCTTTTCACAACACATAGTCTTTTATCAAATTTATAACTTTTCTCTTTTGTACATTGTTAGATTTATGTACTAACATGTTTTGTATTTTAGATTTTTAAGAACTATACATTTTAGGGTTTTTTAATCACAAGTTAACTTAGGGTAAGAAACTGGAAATGTTTAATTCTGCATTAAATGGCACATTATTTAAACTCACTGATGTGAGAAACATGCTGGAAACATAAGAGCAATGTTCATAGCACAGACGTCCCTTGTTACTCCAGACTCCAGTCAGGTCTGGATGCACAGGAAATAGACCCACGCTGCCTGGCCACTTCCTGTTTTAGCCCCGCCTCCCCTGGCTTTCATCCTCTCCCCTGCTGAGTCCAGCACCCTTTTTCTCTGTCTTCTTTACATCCTGAGTGCATTCTTTGCTTACTTGGGCTGTTTCCTTGTCACTGTCAGAGTAGTAGACACAAACTACAGGCCAGCACAGAGCAACACAAACACATGTACCTGACACAGGGATGTCTCATATTTCTTCGTTAAAGATTTGAATAAATACTTCATACAAACCTGCTGTATGTGTGCTGTCATTTTAAAACATCCCGTTTAAACGTAGCTTTAAAGGTAGCTAGTAGCTACATTATTCTGAGTGAATGTCATTTCCAGCTCTGCATTGCTGAGGGAGCGACAGGAATCAGTCACACACAGTTCTCTTACACGAGGAGTCTGTTAGTCTGTTAGTGTTAATCAGTGTGCTACAGGATGCTGTGCCTGTGATTGGAAGATAGCTGGTTCACATCCCAGGCTCAGTCGGAGGGCGTCACTGCTGGGCTCTTGAGCAAGACGTTTGGAGACCAGCTGCTATGACCCTGCTTTCACAATTGTGCTTTGGATGAAAGCGCTTGCAAAATGTGTAAATATAATTAAAACACAGTGTGTCATGCCATTTAACACACCTTAAAACAAAAATATGTGACAATATATTGGAGAATATAACGCAATATATTAAATTATTCCATACATGAGAGACTAGAGTTTATATTTTCCAATAAACTGCAATATATACATGGCTATTTACTAATACATACGAAAATTATATTGCAATGAAGACAAACCACTACATTTTCACATGTAATAGTTTTATTGAACATTTATTTTTATGCCTATGTTTATGCATTTTACCCATATGCAAAGTAAACATATTTGTCTGTATATTAACTCAATAAATTGCTTACCTGTTCTTATTTACTGTTATTTATGATGTGCATCATCACATGCACAGCTCTCTTAAGGTCCCAACACAGCATTTCAATTGCGTTGAGGTCTGGACTTTGACTGGCTCATTGCAACACCTTGATTCTTTTCTTCTCAAGCCATTGTGTTGCAGATTTGCTGGTGTGCTTGGGATCATTGTCTTGTTGCATGACCCAGTTTCAGCCAATGTTTAGCTGTCAGATGGCCTCACATTTGACTCTACAATACTTTGGTATACAGAGGAGTTAATGGTCGACTCAATGACTGCAAGGTGCCCAGGTCCTGTGGCTGAAAAACATCCCAAATCATCACCCCTCCACCACTGTGCCTGACAGCTGATATGACGTGTTTGTGCTGATATGCTGTGTTTGGTGTTTGCGAAATGTGGTGCTGTGTATTGTGGCCAAACATCTTGATCTCGTCTGTACAAAGGGCATTGTTCCAGACGTCTTGTGGTTTGTTCAGATGAAAATTAGCAAACCTAAGCTAAGCTAACGTATTTTTCGATATATCTTTACAATGCATTTTGCATTATATTTTACAATATATTCCATCCATCCATTTTCTGCCGCTCATCCGGGGTCGAGCCGCAGGGGCAGCAGTCTAAGCAGAGATGGCCAGACCTCCCTCTCACCAGCCACCTCCTCCAGCTCCACCGGGAAAATACCATGGAGTTCCCAGGCCAGCCGAGAGATATAATCTCTCCAGCGTGTCCTGGATCTCCCCCGGGGATCTCCTCCCGGGTTGGACATGTCCAAAACACCTCCCCAGGGAGACATCCAGGAGTCATCCTAGATAGAAGCCCAAACCACCTCAACTGGCTCCTTTCAATGCGGAGGAGCAGCAGTTCTACTTTGAGCCCCCCCTGAATGTCCGAGCTCCTCACCCTATCTCTAAGGCTGAGCCCAGACACCCTGCGGAGGAAACTCATTTTGGCCGCTTGTATCCGCGATCTCATTCTTTCGGTCACTACCCAGAGCATATGACCATAGGTGGGGGTAGGAATGTAGATCCACCAATAAATCGAAAGCTTTGCCTTCCAGCTCATCTCCCTCTTTACCACAACAGAATGATACAGCGCATTACTTCTTCCCATTACTCATGAACAGGACACCCTCCTCTCCAGTACCCCAGCATAGACCTTCCCTGGGAGGCTGAGGAGTCTGATCCCCCCTAAAGTTGGAATACATCCTCCAGTCCCCTTTCTGAAGGATTGGGACCCCCACCCCAGTCTTCCAACTCAAAGGCACTATCCCCAAACTCCACCCGATGCTGAAGAGGTGTGTCAGCCAAGACAGCAAAACAACATCAAGAGCTTTCAAGAACCCAGGGAGAATCTCATCCACCACCGGAGTTGTTTTACTACTTCAGTAACCTCATCCCTGGGATGGGTAAATCCTCCTCTACTTCCTCCAAAGAAGGAATATCAGTGGGATTCAGGAGGTCCTTGAAATATTCTTTCCACCACCTGGGGACCACTGATG